GGTTAATGAAAACTACTCCAATGTTAAATTAAAATTAAGTGTGCATATGGCAACAAAACACAACTTTTGTTTACTAAATTGATTATGTGAAATAAAACAACCATGGTTAAAACAGCAAGAGATGCAATGAGCTACAAGCAAATACACATATGAACCAATGAATAGCATACTTGAGCATGAGAAAAAAAGCCATTTGCACATATACACACAAAGACTAACATTAGCAAACACAAATGTGTTCCTCCAACATGCACCAGGTATGTTTTTTTTAATATTGCAGCTGAATAATTGAAGTGATAGTATTGTAATTGTGTGTATGGATGTACTGACACCACTTAACTAAAGATACATTACAATTACATGTAAGTTTCAAACTTTGGACAATGTCTGGTTAATAAAAATAGTATGATTTGATGAGTGTGTTTAACTATAAGGTAATTATATCTTTAATCTCACTTATTACTAACATTAATATTTATTTGATCTCATTTTTATGGTTGACCACAATCACTTACCGTAAGTCGTCGATTTTATGTTCTCAACGCTTTATAGATTCGTCCTCGGTACAAAGGCCAATGGATTCAACCTCCAAAGTCTTTTATCAATCGTATCTTTATGAGCTAAAGCCTATAATTCGTTCAAATGAATCCGACCTTCGCATTGAATCTGTCAARAAGCATTTGCTCTTCTTCTTGACCCTCTTTCTCTTCTACTACTAGCCATTTGTCTCAAGGAATGATTTGGACCACTTAAAATTTACGAAGGGAGCAAAAATCTTGTTTTTAAAGCTAAAATTTCTATCGCTGATACATGTAAATATACAGTTTATAAACGATGTCATTAGTATGCGTTGGACCTATGACGTCATAGGGAAGTCCGCTGTACACATTTACTTTTTGGCCGTGAGTAGAGAAAATAATGGCGGATGAAAACTAAATCGTAAATATGTCATACTTCCCATTGAAATATCGAAATAAAACTTTACAGAGTGATTTCTTGTTTATTTATCTTTATGTTGAGAAAGTTTCAGCGGCTAAGACGTAATATTACAGGTTTTTCAAAAACGGCCATACATTACGTCCAAGTACCCCTTTAAGGCCGTGTTTGATACTCTGATCAAAACACTTGGGATGTAGGGAGAGCACGAGAGAAGCGTAGGAAACCACRACGCGTAGCGGAGTGGTTTCCAGCTTTTCGAGTGCTCTCCCTACATCCCAAGTGTTTTGATCAGAGTATCAAACACGGAATTCCATCTTTTATTTCTTTTCTAAAATTAAAAGAATACGAAAATCGTAAAGAATGCTGACTTTTGATACGATATAAAACATTATACATTAGGGTCGAAATATAAAAAGTTTCTGTCTAGAGTTCATATTAACTGATAATTATTTGACGAATTCAACGAGTTTATCTCGATTGTCTATCATTTGCAAAAGCTCTTTCTGAATGAATGAATAAAAATTCAAGTCTTATTATGCAAATATTCATTTCCGTATCTAATTTTAAATAATGTGCACAAAAAACTATAATAACACCTAGTCTTCACAATTATGTCGAAGAACCATATATCTAACTTAGCTAGAAATCCTTTACAATCATTCTTTTTCATTTCTTTACATATTATATACAGATTTATCGATTTTCTTTGAAAGATCCTAAGCGGAAACATTGCTCAACTGAAATCTCAATTCTCCATGTATATTTTCCAATCAGTATCCTTAGATTTAAATTGTCTCACTCGCATCTTTGCTTTCCTTTGATAAACTTGGCATGTTTATCGTTAGAGGGACGGACACAACAGTAATCGGTGTTACAGTCGTATTTAGTTGTTCAGCGCTTGTGCTTAAGCAATTTCTAACAATTTGTCGAAATGGTTGCAGCATTCTGTTGATGATTCTTAAGTATGCAGTACGGAACTGCCGGATTCTCAAGCTGTATATGATAAAGTTCATGGATGAGTTTGCTAAGCAAAGTGTACGAAACCATAATTGTATGAGACCAAACGAACAGTGGGCAGATTTATCAGGCTGTGATAATCTGTATCCAACAACGGGGAACCAGCAAGCAACAAAAAGGAAAATCACAATGGCAATAGCTCCAGAAACTCTCCTTTCCATGGCTCTTTCACGTGTCGAGGAAGGCATTGCTCTCATGGCTGAATGGAACTTGTGGTTTTTGATTTTGCAGAAAACTATCGCGTATGAACCAATCATGAGGAGGAAATCTGTGGCAACAAACAGGGCAATAAGAATGCTTAAGGTTTGGGCGGCGCTTTTCCCTGCCTTCGTTATATGTATAGTTAAATATGCAAT